TTTTTTTTTTTTTTTTTTTTTTTAATGCTTGCACAGGCTAGCATTTTTAGGTAATTTGGCATTTTAGCTTCTCTGAAGGAGGCGTTGATGATTTGTTAACAACAGGCATAGTTGTTTTTCACTAGCCAGCAGACGCACAGAAATGTCTTTCTGGTCTTGGCTTAAATATTTCTCAGGGCTTTTTGAGCTTTTGTGGATGTGGTAGGTCAGACTTTGTCACGGGTGGTGAGGTACAAACAGTTGTCATGCTTAGTCAAATGCAGATGCTGTATAACTGTAAAAGTAACATGGCTTAAAGAATAAAATAACTGAGCTGTCTGGAAATTACCAGGAACAAAATTTGTTATGAAGATCATTATTTTGTAAATTATCATGATTAATTATTATTTAATACTGTATATTTGTTACTGCATTATAAAATACTTTACATATTTTGTGTGGATATGCCTTTGCTTTAGATAATTGTATTATCTTACATGGTTCTGGCAAAGTAAATCCATTGTGCATGCTTTGAGGTTTGAATTATAAACCATAATTTAGTACATAATGTTCAACCTCAGCACTACAGTGCTCTCTGGGGAAGAATTTCAAAGGCACAGCTTTAGATACCTAATTCCCATTGACTTTCAATGAGAGTTAGGCACCTGTGTGCTTTTTGAGCCTTTGAATATCTATTCCTTTATATTGGAGTACCTTTATTAAAACTGCCCCATTATATGTAAAATCTTGGCTAAGGAAATCTGCATGAAATGACAGAGTTCATCTTCAATAAATAAAAGCAGTGACTACAAGTTCGCATATTTTAGGTCAAATATAAGTCTGACAAAATTACTTACAAATAATGATAATTCACTGGGAAGAAAATTAAGCTTTCTCAAATACCAGTTGTTTTGTAACGTAATCATGTTTAATTTACTTTTGTAAAGAAAAATAACTATTTGCAATAATGTTTACATTTCAGGTCTAAAACTCTCGAGGGGCTGTTTTGGGGTATTTTGTGTGCTTTTTACATTGCTGTAGGTGTTCCTAATATTATAGATGTCTAGCCTGTAAAATTAAACTTTATTCATGTGCACCCTTTGAAGAAAAAAATAGACTACCATTCAAAGTTGCCTTTACAATTTTTGGCAATATAGAAGTTGTATGTTTGTACTATGTGTAGTATTCCTATTTTTTGTTCTGTAAGGATAAACTGAGATTTCTTTAAATGCAAACAGTAAGTCTATTCAGGAGCCCTACATCCACCTGTTGTAACTGTACCAGTGTTATTTACTTTACGGATTTTATTAGGAAACCTGAGGCTTCTTGTACTCTGTAACAACTTTGAAAAGAGGTCTTTGAATTGCAGTTCACTGCTTAGACTGAGCATTCCAGTAAATATTTAGGTCATTAGAGCAGTCAGGTTAGAGCTGGGACTTCCTTTTCATTAGATCTGAGTTTTTATTAAATACTATAATGTGCAGCACAGAAATGTTTTGTAAGACATAAAAAATATATAGTCACACTGATCTACAGTGTGACTCTATGAAACACACATTATGAATTGGGTAGTGTTCAATCCTTACTCAGAGTTCAGAACGTATGGTCTTTCATATAGTGGAAAAAATGATGTACTTTGAATATTCCTTCCCAGCAACATGTGTGCATATTTCTTTCAATATTTCTAAAGACCATTGTGAAGAATGCTTCTGTGTTAATACACATAGTTCAGAGCTATTAGTTCATAATATTTTCTCCCCAAAAGGCTGCGCTCTGTCATAATATAAGAAACTGAAGTAAAGTTATTAATCATGTCTCTGTGTTTAATTGCACCTGGATTGTTTTGAATTAGCAAACTGATCCTATGTTCTTGAAATTCAATTGCTGGGAGCTAGTCAGTAACCAGATATGTATTTTTAACTTGCTTCAGATGAAAAAGCAGCTGGGTGATAATGAAGCTATTACTCAGGAAATAGTTGGCTGTGCCCATGTGGAGAATTATGCTTTGAAAATGTTTCTATATGCAGACAATGAAGATAGAGCTGGGCGATTTCACAAGTAAGTGAAGAATGAAAGCAAATGGCTGAAAGTATCTTTTGTCTTCATTACCTAATCTAAGTAATAAATCTAGAGTCCAGAAATTCAAATATCCAAACTCTGTCGTTCTTTCCTGATTTATGGAAAAACATTGGGTTGTCATCTGCTCATTGCTCTTGGTGATTTTTTTAAATCCGTTCGTCACTACCCCTTAAAGCTACCATTATAAAATGGCTAGCGTCTCTGAGGGTGGTGAAGCACTGGAATGGGTTACCTAGGGAGGTGGTGGAATCTCCTTCCTTAGAGGTTTTTAGAATCATAGAATATCAGGGTTGGAAGGGACCTCAAGAGGTCATCTAGTCCAACCCCCAGCTCAAAGCAGGACCAATTCCCAACTAAATCATCCCAGCCAGGGCTTTGTCAAGCCGGGCCTTAAAAACCTCCAAGGAAGGAGATTCCACCACCTCCCTAGGTAACACATTCCAGTGCTTCACCACCCTCCTAGTGAAATAGTGTTTCCTAATATCCAACCTAGACCTCCCCCACTGCAACTTGAGACCATTGCTCCTTGTTCTGTCATCTGCCACCACTGAGAACAGCCGAGCTCCATCCTCTTTGGAACCCCCCTTCAGGTAGTTGAAAACAGCTATCAAATCCCCCCTCATTCTTCTCTTCTGGAGACTAAACAATCCCAATTCCCTCAGCCTCTCCTCATAAGTCATGTGCTCCAGACCCCTAATCATTTTTGTTGCCCTCTGCTGGACTCTTTCCAATTTTTCCACATCCTTCTTGTAGTGTGGGGCCCAAAACTGGACACAGTACTCCAGATGAGGCCTCACCAATGTCGAATAAAGGGGAACGATCACGTTCCTCGATCTGCTGGCAATGCCCCTACTTATACAGCCTTCTTGGCAACAAGAGCACACTGTTGACTCATATCCAGCTTCTCATCCACTGTGACCCCTAGGTCCTTTTCTGCAGAACTGCTACCTAGCCATTCGGTCCCTAGTCTGTAGCAGTGCATAGGATTCTTCCGTCCTACGTGCAAGACTCTGCACTTGTCCTTGTTGAACCTCGTCAGGTTTTTTTTGGCCCAATCCTCTAATTTGTCTAGGTGCCTCTGTATCCGATCCCTACCCTCCAGTGTATCTACCACGCCTCCCAGTTTAGTGTCATCTGCAAACTTGCTGAGAGTGCAATCCACACCATCCTCCAGATCATTAATAAAGATATTAAACAAAACCGGCCCCAGGACCGACCCTTGGGGCACTCCGCTTGAAACCGACTGCCAACTAGACATGGAGCCACTGATCACTACCCGTTGAGCCCGACGATCTAGCCAGCTTTCTATCCACCTTACAGTCCATTCATCCAGCCCATACTTCTTTAACTTGCCGGCAAGAATACTGTGGGAGACTGTATCAAAAGCTTTGCTAAAGTCAAGGAATAACACATCCACTGCTTTCCCCTCATCCACAGAGCCAGTTATCTCATCATAGAAGGCAATTAGGTTAGTCAGGCACGACTTCCCCTTGGTGAATCCATGCTGACTGTTCCTGATCACTTTCCTCTCCTCTAAGTGTTTCATAATTGATTCCTTGAGGACCTGCTCCATGATTTTTCCAGGGACTGAGGTGAGGCTGACTGGCCTGTAGTTCCCTGGATCCTCCTTCTTCCCTTTTTTAAAGATGGGCACTACATTAGCCTTTTTAAGGTCAGGCTTGACAAAGCCCTGGCTGGGATGATTTAGTTGGGAATTGGTCCTGCTTTGAGCAGGGGGTTGGACTAGATGACCTCCTGAGGTCCCTTCCAACCCTGATATTCTATGATTCTATGAATGGCTTTCAGTATATAATGCCTTATTTTATTGGCAAATTATGCACCTCATTTTGAAAACAGCCTTATGTTGACCTAAGAAGAGAGACTCCTGAGACCAATACTGAATCATCATCATGAAACATGACAAAAGTATTTCTACTGCTGTACTACTAAAATATCGATGATGACACATCACTAAGGTCACAGTAATGTGGTTTGATTTATGGTATTACTAGAAAATAATAATGGCTAATTATTTTTATGAAAATACATTAGAATGTCTTACACATTGGCATCTACAGAGCAAAACTTCAGATCAGTTTTGAAAAAATCTGTATTTTGCCTTATAGCTAAAGGGGCATTATCAATTCAAATTGACCCCTAGATCCAAATATTGTGGAAAAAGTTTTTTAAAATATGTTCATTTATTTTAAATTTCAGTGACAGTTGTTTTTTTTAACAAATAAACATTTCCCTGTGGTGTTTGATAATACAGTGTTATGACAAAGTTAAGGTTAGTGACTTTGACTATAAACAAAAGTGAAACTGATTTAATTATTTTTCATTGTCCAATCTGAAAGAAACATCAAAGCTCAAATAATAAGGAAAATTCTTTTAATCATGTGGTGTTAGTAGCAAAGATTAGAAATTTTGAGTGGAGGGGTTACATCATATAATTTTTTATAATATCTCCTTCTCATTTTTTAAGCACCAATAATAAGCAAAATTCTTAATATTGCTATGGTACTACATGTCAAATAGTTCCTTATTCAGTTTGTCTGTGTTATTGTTTTAAGACTTTATTATTAAAATAATATTTATGTAGGACTATCCAGATTAAATTCATTGAAAAAAATGAATGTGCACCTGACTTCAATGAAAAATTGTAACAAAGATATGAATTGACAAATCTACTTTTAGAGATTTTTAGGCCTAAAAATGCTTACCTTTAAAACCTGATACTAGTGATATTCACCATAAGAAACTAAAGTTAGCACGATGTTTGTTTCTTGTAGAAACATGATAAAGTCCTTTTATACTGCAAGTCTCCTGATAGATGTTTTGTCGGTATTCGGGGAGCTCACTGAAGAGGTAAGTTACACAGGTATACAGTATATCATTGATTGCTTCTTTCCAGCTATGACACAAAGACACGGTTTTAGTCTGTTAAAGCTTTGTTCTACCATTTGGCTCTCAGTATATCAGCTGTTAATTGTGAATGTCAGTGTAGATGGGTTTTATTGCCATCTACAGCTTCACTCTTGTGATCATAGGATCTAGAGGGAATCTCATCGAGTATTTCCTCCATAAGTGTAAGATACAGGTTGTGTGTATTATTGTCCTTTATGCATAGAAATTTTATACCTATACAAGTGTTTATCAGTTAGTAATGAACATACTGTGCATTTACGTGGGGATGAAATATTGCACCAGCTAGAGGGAAGGTCCCTAGGGGAACTGGAGAGGGAAAATGGGAAAGCCTAAGTCCTCTTCCTCCTTTCCCATTTAAAGAAAAGCGCTTCTCACCTCTGATAATTGAGGTTGCACTATATAAAGTTTAAAGTACAATATACATTTTTTGGTGCAACAAATAATAGATATCTTTTAAAAAATGATGTTTGATGTCAGCAAGTACCAAAGTTCAGTTCACAAATGTACTGCTAATGTCACGAATTGCCACTTTGTAAGTATGTTGAGCATCACCAGGACTAGTTTCTGGAAAGCCAATTCTAAACTAAAAATTGCAAGTAACTAAAGTAGATTTGGTTCTAGCCACTTTTTACAGCAGATTTCTTATTCAGACAAAGACTTCAGACCTGGCTGAATGGGATGACAGTATGCCTGGTAAAAATGAGAACAACCACCAGGATTACTTTAAAGTAAGGGTGTCTGCCAGTGGTAGAGTCACCTGCTCTTTCTTACTCTTGAAGCAGGAGATTTAGACTGGAACATACTGGAGCAGATAAAGTCTTAACAAGATGTTTCATGTTCTTCTATTCCCTTTCTAGAAAATAAAACTGAAGGGATTTCTGCAGAATTTACTGAATTAGAGTTCTGATGGAAAAGTGTGACAAAAAGGTTGAAATCTTTGGACCGTGAGATAAAAAGAAAGTCATTGCAGACTAGCACAGGCAGATTTCACATCTAGTCAAAGGCAGTTTAGAATACCTGGAAGATCAAAATAAGGGTACGTCTTCACTACCCGCCGGATCGGTGGGTAGCGAAAGATCTATCGGGGATCGATTTATTGCGTCTCGTCTAGACGCTATAAATCGATCCCCGAACGAGCTCCCCGTCGATTCCGGAACTCCACCAGAGCGAGAGGCGATAGCGGAGTCGACAGGGGAGCCGCGGCCGTCGATCCCACGCCGTGAGGACCTGAGGTAAATCGATCTAAGATATGTCGACTTCAGCTACGCTATTCACGTAGCTGAAGTTGCGTATCTTAGCTCGATCCCCTTCCCCCCCACCCCCCCCCAGTGTAGACCAGCCCTAAAATGCTGAAATGTTAAACCACTTGGTGTCCTAGCAGCAGAAGGATATGTGGTCTTAGTAGCATTTGTGGAAAAATTAATGCCAGAAGTTCTAAATGGGGATGGGATAGAACCTATCCAAATGGAAATTGGCAAAAATTTTCAGGTAGAAAGTACCACAGCTATACTCTGACTAGAGGGTTTAGAGTAAAATGATGCTTGCTGTGATCTTTCTCAAAGATAGTTCATAGTGGTCATTTGTTCTCCCCTGCCCCCAGATTTTAGCCCAGCTACGCTAGTTAGGAGAAGGGATTTAGCTTCACTTAGGGCTTAAACCCATGGAAGAATGCCCATTGACAGCAATGAAAACTGAATGGGTCCCTTAAAGAAATTGGTAGACAAAGGTGCTTTCACACAAGAACCTGGATTCTAAGTTTACATTACCATCTGACCTGCATCTAATCAGAACTAACCAACACTGTTCAAACTGGAGTTTTTAATCTTCTATAATCCAGGATCTTGGAACATTGTTCCCCCCAGTAGCAGATGGAAATTAGTAATTACATCTTTTTATGTCACATCCCAAGATGTAAGGTCTAAGCGGAAGATTCAGTTATCCTTACAAGCTTGTGGCCTGAAGAAGGGCTTTGTGTAAATTCAAAAGCTTGTCTCTCACCAACAGAAGTTGGTACAATAAAAGATAGTACCTCAACACCTTGTCTCTCTAATCTGGTACCAACACAATTACAACACTGCATATAGAAGAATAGATAGCAAAGGTCTCTGAGGCATAACAAAGGCTAAAGACACACTTTCTAAAGAATCATGTGAGGGACAATCTTTGGGCTCTTGAGCCAATGTAAACTGTACATCCTTAGCTGACAACCAACATGACTGACTCCAACAAGGATTCCAGACCCTAGTTGCTCACATGATCAGTCTCCTATGCAGCCAGACACTTTGGGGGCTTCTAGCCTGGGTTCTGTGTTTGCACGCCCAGCACAGGAAGGAGGAGGAGGAATAGGGGTATCAGAATCTGAAGAATCCCAGCACTCAGAGGAAGATGGAAAGCAGAAGCACCCAGATGCAAGGTAACTGCTCTGGAGGGCTGCAAAGCCTCTAGCCCCATAAATTACATTTCTAATCGCCCTCCAGACCATCCCCTACACCCAAGTCTCCCAGAGGACTCAGGTTACACAGTTTCATCTGCTCAGGGGCTGTAGCGAGAGCGCAAGCATCACTCCAGCCCTTCCTGTGACTTCAGTTGTCAGGCTGGCTATAGGGGAAAGCAGCCAAGCAGACTTCTCTCCTCTCACATTCCAGATCTGGTAGGGAGAGGAAAAGGAGCCTATACTGCCAAGACCCCCTCCTGCCAGGGAAGTCTCATGCCAGAATATCCCTAACTCAGTTTTGAGCATCTCATCTTTGCCACCTCCAGCAGAGAGGCTGCAGGGGAAGCTTAGTGATAATGGTGGTTCTGCTATAGACTCCCATTGCCAAGACAACAGCTCAGGCAAGAAAATGGAGTAACTGCTCCAGTGGTTCTCCTGTGGCTCAACATTTCCACCCCCACAGAAACAGACCAGTAAAGGGGAAAAAAGCTAACAGGCAAGCATCAGAGTGACCAACAAGCAACTCCACATTCCTTCAGCAGCAGATCCATCAGGATACACAGTAGCCAGAAATCAGCCATAGCTCGCAGGATCGATGCTACCCTGTTCCCCCAGGTAATCCTAACCAACCATGAAGTAGAAGAGATGATCAGGGGAAAGTACCAAATGTGTATACTGTCTTTTGAGACTGACAACTCCTCCCCACGACAGACATATATGCTCCAATAAAGAGGAATACCATTCTAGGCAATGAGGAACACCACCATCTGTTTCTTCAATGCCTCCAGTTAGGTTCCTGCTGGACACTCAAAGCTCTGTTCAGTCCAAACCTAAACAGTCACTGCATCCTTTCACACCCCCATGGGAAACTGAGATACTGTGTACTAGATAGAGGAGAAGAAAGCAGTATGGGAAGAGGATTAACTGGAAAATGGGGCACCTTAAATGGCAGCAGGGCATCCCAGAGCTGCAGCTTTAGTGAGAAGAGCATTCTAAATATTGAAAAGAGGAACAACTGCACTTCTCATAGTTGGATGGCACAGAAGAAGAAACGATGGTGAAGCCAGTATCTAGGTCCTTCTAGTATAAGATATAATTTTGTCCTTTCATGCTTACATAAAGCAAATAGTAGACAAGTAGGTTTTTTTCCCCTAAACAAAATATTAGGGCTCAGCTGGATTATGAGAATTTTGCATTCTTTCTATCTAGCAGTCTGTTTGGTTTATACGGCTGCTACTCTCCGATCCAAAGATACAGTTCATGGGGAGAACTCCAAAAGAAGCCCATACTGGTTCAGTGGCAAAGTAAAGGCAGCAGTTAGAAATCAAAAGCCAGTATATAACAAGTGGAAAATGGGGGAAATAGATAGCAATCAATATAAATGAGAAGTTATGTAGTGCAGAAAACTGATGAAAGAAGCTAAAGTCGGGGGGGGGGGGGAATCCATGCCTGGAAAGGTTAAGGACAATAAGAAGAAGTTCAATATGTTAAGAACAAAAGAAATCCTAGCAATGGCATAGGCCCATTATTAGATGGAAATGGATAAAATTGTTGTTAATGATATAGAAAAAGCAGAAGTGTTCAATAAATACTGTTCTGTGTTTGGAAAGAAGTGGGATGATGAACTCATATCATATGAGGATAATGAAATCCTTTCCTGTCCATTTGTAACTGAGGATGTTAGACATCTACTAGGGATAAATATTTTTAAGTCAACAGGCCTGGATAACTTGCATGCAATAGTCCTAAAAGGATTGGCTGAGAGATCTGTGGGACCACTGATGTTAATGTTTAATAAATTTTGGACAGCTAGGGAAATTCCAGAAGGTAGGAAGAGTGATAATGTTTCCAGTATTCAAAAAGTGCAAACAGGATGACCTGGATAGCTGTAGACTGGTTAACCTGAAATCAATCCTGGGCAAAATAACAGAATAGCTGAAACAGATTTGATTGACAAAGAATTAAAACATAGGAATATTTTTAATGCTGGTTAATTTTATGAGAAATAGGTCATTTCAAACAAACCTGTTATTTTCTAATGAAATTACAATTTTGATTGATAGTGACTTCCATAGATGTAATATACTTAGACTTTTGTATGGTGTTTGACTCAGTACCACACAGTATTCTGATTTTTAAAAATAAGCATTATACAATATCACTAGAGCAGTGGTCCCCGACCTTTCCAAACTACTATACCCAAAGTAAAAGAAGCAGTAAGAGGCAAAAAGGCATCCTTTAAAAAGTGGAAGTTAAATCCTAGTGAGGAAAATAGAAAGGAGCATAAACACTGGCAAATTAAGTGTAAAAATTCAATTAGGAAGGCCAAAAAAGAATTTGAGGAACAGTTAGCCAAAGACTCAAAAAGTAATAGCAATTTTTTTTATAAGTGCATCAGAAGCAGGAAGTCTGCTAAACAACCAGGGGGACCACTGGACGATTGGAGCACTCAAGGACAATAAGGCCATTGCAGAGAAACTAAATGAATTCTTTGCATCGGTCTTCA